TCCTCGTCCTGCCTATTGCCTCCCCGTCCTCCTCGTCCTCTCCTCGTCGTCGTCGTGCTCCTCCTCCTCCTCCTCCAGTATTCTCATCATGCCTGGTAGCCCTCGTCCTGCCTATTGCCCCTTCCCGCCCCCGCCCCGTCCTCCTCCATCCTCCTCGCGCCTGCTTCTGCGGCCTGCCCCAGCTCCCGTCCAGTTCCCCTGCCCGTTTCCTGCTCGCCCTCCTCGCCCCCGGCTCCTCCTTCCGCGAAGCCCTCGGGGCAAAAAATGCCTCAGCCGACGCGTCCAGGCGCGCCTCCCAGGCAAGTGGAGGGGGGGAAGGGGAGTGGGGGGCAAGATTCGTTGGTGATGGGAGGAGGGAAAAAGGGGAGAGTGTGAGGAAGGAGGCGTGAGGGGACCGAGAGAAGGATGGAGGATGGCAGGGTGGAGGGATGGGGGAAGGGCGAGGGGTGGAGGGAAGAGTGAGGCTCTGGCAGTGGAGGGAGTAGGGAGGAAGGAGGCGGGACGAGGAAGAGCACGGGGGGGGGGCAACGGCTCAACGGTGGCCTCCGAATTGACGGGTCGACCTCTGCTATGGAAGCCGCTTGTAACTCCGTTCTGGTAGTCTGCCCCCTATCCTGAACATGTGGCAGCTTGTGGCCTCTGGGGAGATGGAGGCCAGGGGAAAGTAAGGGAGAAGGGAGGAGGGCGAGAGGAGAGGGGCACGGGGCAGTAAGCAGATGATGGAGTGGACGAACGCGACGACGACGAAGACCGGAGGAATACCAGAACGGGCAGACACACACACACACACGACACAAACACACAGACACACCCACACACACACAGCTACACACACATCAACGACGCTGGGTGATGCATTCCCGCTCCAAGCCCCCATCCCTTCGGCCAATGCGTGCGGACAGAATTGAACAGGACCTACCGCTAAAAAGGCAACACCACCAGCGACCTCTATATGATTTGAAGCGCGCGTGACCACCGACCATGCTCGTAGTCGGCTGGTCAACGCTACAACGCAGAATGTTAGGGCGGGCCCCAAACAGTGAGCTATTGCACTGTGCAGGTGGAATCTATGCGGTGTGAACTATGCTGTGTAGGCTGTGTCGTGCGAGCTATGGAATTGAAAACGATCCGATGCAATCCACTTTGCACTGCTCTCGCAATCATACCACCCTCCACCCGCATCTTGTTTTGGACAACCCATGCGGCCGCGATTGCAATTACTACTTGACGCTTGCTGGCTCATCTCTGCATCCGCACTGGCGCGCGCAAGCTCGCGCGCAGAGCGGCCAGCTGGTTTGGCACAACCGACGCGGATGCGATAGTGCTTACCGACAGGAACTCCCAGCCCGTCTCAGAGGTCGCGCTGGCGCGCAAGCACTTCACTTCAGTGCGGGTCGGTGAGACGGGCGGGCGCGGTAGCATGATGAAGGCGGCAACGGCGGTAACGATGGTGACGATGACGGCCGCAAGGTCAATGACGGCGCCGATGCTGGTGATGTAGTTGACGATGCTGATGTCCATGTGTCGATGGTGAAATTAATTAGCTGATAATGGCGGCGATGGCGGATACTAGTGATGACGATAACGGCGGTGATGCGGTGGCGCTGATGGAGGTGACGGTGAGGAAGTGCACGCTCGCGAGAATGCAAGACAGCTGAATTAGTTGTCGTTCGAACCCTGTTTTGCGTGCTTTTCCCAACCATCCTGTTGTGTTGGGTCCTCGTTTCGAAAAGAAAGCGCCCCGCGTTCTCCTCCTCTCCTCCTCCTTCCCCCCCTCCCTCCCCTCCCACGACTCGTGACCCATAGGGAGGTCCACCAGAAGGCCCAATGGCACCGTTCGCATGCGCTCCCCCGCTCATTTCGGCAAACCCCTCACACGATTCGTGGCCCCATAGGCAGCTCCTCCCATAGCTAGCTGAGTGTAGGCTCAGCGCACGGGGCGCCCACGAGCGTCCACGAGGCAGCACTGGCGGCAACGTGGCGCGACCTTCGGCGGACCCGCCCCGCGCACGGGGCTCCCACGAACGACACGAAGCGGCACGGGCGGCAACGCGGCGCAACCTCGGCGGACCCACCCAGCGCATGGGACGCCCACGAGCACCCCCGAAACAGCACGGGCGGCACCGTGGCGCAACCTTGGCGGACCCACCCAACGCGCACGGGGCGCCCACGAGTGCCCACGAGGCGGCACGGGGCGGCCACGTGGACATTCGTCGGCGGACCCGTCCAAGCACTTGAGCAACACAAGTAGGAATCCGCAAGCGCAGGCACTGCTTAGGGGAATGACCTCGATAATTGCTCGCAAGTCATCCATGCCGTACGTCGGGTAGAGAAACTTTGACCAATCTGCGCGCGGCGCTGGAGCGAGAATACGTGCATGTCCCTACTGTCCGGGGTCCTCCCGTGTATGCGGGACCCTGATCATGAGGGACGTTTTATCGGGTGGGCCCGACCCTGACGATGATATCCATGATACGGACCCAAGGAGCAAGGGGCGAATCGTCAGCAACATGCCAGCACCCCGCCACGCAGGGGCAGTCCATCAGAGGCGCGGAAAATCTCATCAGCGCCAGCATGGCTTGGACGATTCAATGAGCGAGCCGCCAGCGATATCGCAATGCTTCCAACTGGAACTATCCATCCATGCATCTGTTGGACCTTTCACAGTTCACGCTGCGGGAGAGAAGTTCTGTTTCATACACGATAGACATCAGAGCGAGGGGGCTGAACGGTCTCACACCGTACCTGGGCGTTGCTGAAGTGGGATTCCGCAGCGCGCATTCTGCTTGCTGTTGTTGCTGCTGTTGTTGTCGTCGTCCTCGCCCGAGGCCTGCCCGAGTCCCACCTGCGACCCACCCCGCGACCCACCCCGCGACCCACCCCGCGACCCACCCCGCGATCCACCCGCGACCCACCCGCGACCCACCCGCGACCCACCCCTCGCCCGCCCCCTCACTCTTACCCGCAAGTGCGGAGTGCTGCGTATTTCCAATGTAAGCAATACGTGTAAGCGGCTGTGGAACGAGACGAGCCGCAGTTTGAAAACGGATCGCCCTACATCTGTGTGAACAAGTTGATTTGTCGACCTAGGAGCCCGAACCTCCCCGTATCGACGCATCAGGTGAGGCGGCGGGAAGGAGTCACTTATGAGGAACAAGAATGGAAGAGGGAGCTGGCAAAAGGAAGGAACCCGGAAGAGGAGTCATGATGGAGAGGCGGCAGGGATACGAGGAAAAAGGCGGACTAGGACGGAGGATGAATAGAGGGGGAACTGGATGGCTAGGAACGATGGGAAAAAAGGAAGGAGTGAGAGGGGAGAGGAAGGAGGGAGTCCTCCTCCTCCTCCTCCTCCTCCTCCTTCTCCTCCTCTCCTCCTCCTGCTCCTGCTACTGCTCCTCCTCCTCCTCCTCTTCCTCCTTCTCCTCGTACTCCCTCTCCTCGTCAACCTCGTGCAACATTTCAGGATGCTCCGTCGTAGCTTTGCACCTGGTTCTCGCCGCTGGGTGTTCCTCTCTGGGGCACACTTGCCACAAGGCTGTGCGCAAGACTCCTTCTACCTCCTTGAGGTAGGCAGGAAGGGACATGGGGCAGGAACAAGGACGGATGGGGGGGAAGAGGAAGAGGAAGGGGCGGAAGGAACGGAGGGAAAGGCATATCGAAATCGCGATGGAGGCGAGGGGCGGGTGAGAAGGAGGTCGAAGGCGGGACGGACAGGGGGGGGAGGAAGAGGAGAGAGAAACCCGGGGGGGAAGTGGGGAGGCAGGGTGAGGAAGAGGCGATCAAGAAGACGAGCGGAAGAAGAGGAGGACAGGGAGAGTGAATAGCGAGGGCGCAGGGGGAGAATAAGAAGGAAGCCGCCTAGCGGCCCCGCAACTCTGCCAAGCGCAGGCCCTCGCTCGCCTTCTGCTGCGCCTTCGACGCGAGCGTCTGCGCGCGGGAACTCTCCGCGAACTCCTCTGGAAGGAAGGCGCCAAGTGTACAGCTACTACGGCCCTGACCCAACCACTCCTGAGCCCTCTGTGGCAAATCTCATGGGAGCCTCCCATGTCATCTTGCGGGTTCTTGCGAATTAACGTGAACCGACGCTACTTGACACGACTCGAAGGTAATCGACGCTAAATCTGAGCACTTTCATCGAGTTCCACACGCGAGCGCACGTCCATGCAATCTGAAAATGTACTTTTGGGGACATACACGGCTCCCGTACGTCGCTACCGAACTTAGCCCAGAACCTGACCCTGCGTTAGTGTTAGGTCGGGCGTGTCCCCTTGCAGGCTGATCTTGGATAAAAACGAAACATAATCGAAACATACCCAACATGCTAGCAAGCGTGGACCCCAAACCGTATGTACTTGCAGTCTACGCGGTGCAATCTATATGGTGCAATGGATGCGATGTAATTTATGTAATGCAATATGCGCGGTGCACTCTATCTGGTGCAATCTAGGTGGTGCAGTTCGCCTTCCCGAACTTGCAGTTGTCGACTCCACTAATCGCGCAATCATCCCACCCACCCGCCCGCAACTTGGTCAGCAAAGCCCATGCGGAAACGGTTGCGATGAGTGCTTGGCGTTGGCTGGTGCCCGCGCATGTTCGCGCGCGCAGCGGCCAGCTAATTTGGTGCGACCGACGTGGACGCGGTGGCGCGGACCGCCCGTCACATCCCATCGGGCACTTCAGTGCGAGTCGGCGACTTGGGCGGGTGCGGTATCATGACCACGTCGACAAAAGGTAGACACGAGGATGATAGGAGCGATGTTGGCGACGATGCTGACAGCGACGACGGGACAGCCAGTGACGGCGCCGATGCCGATATCGCCAACGACGATGACGGCGTCGTCGAATGATGAACACATGCGCGTGCGGCAGACGCGCGAGGGTGGCCCGCATCGAATTTTTGGACGCGGATCGTGCCACCCCAACACGCGCGCAAGGGCGTGCGAACGAATTCGACCTGCGCGCGCGGAACCTGTGTGGCAACCGGAGGAAAACAAAAACCGATGGGTCCTTGGGAAGCCACAAGTGCGAGCGCATGTCTTTTGTTTGAAAATCAGGTTTGCAAAACCCCGTGGTTTTATAGGTTTTCGGGACCGTCGATTTTGACATCCTTTGCGCGCGCGACGACGCGCGCGTGCGCACTTCGTCCCGTTCTTTTGCGCCGGATTCTTGAAAACTGTTGATTTGTGATCAACGAGTGCGCGCGCATGATTTATTTGTTATAGGATGGCGGGGGTGGCCGATGCCCGTTGGGCTGAGATGGTACGAGTTCAAATTTCGGATGGACGATGGGGCAAGATCATATGTAAATTGCAAAATGGCAAGCGGTGCCGATAATCTAGGGGGAGTCTAGTCTCTTCTTAAGAAGGAGAATCTACGCGGTGCAACCTACGTAATGCAATATACGCAGTGCAATCTATGTGGTGCAGTTAATTTTTGTTCGCAGTGAATTGCCCACTCCACTGCTGGCGCAAACATCCCACCCACCCACCCGCAACGTAGTTTGCAAAACGCACGCGCTGCGATTGCGATGAATGCTTGGTGCTGGCTGGTGCATGTCTGCGGCCGCGCTAGCCCGCGCATGCATTTGCGCGCAACGGCCAGCTACTTTGGCGCGACCGACGCAAACGCGGTGGCGCGGACCGCTCGGTACATCCCAGCGGGCACTTCAGTGCGAGTCGGCGACTTGGGCAGGCATGGTATCATGGCCACATCGACAAAGGTAGACACGAGGATGATAGTAGCGATACTGGCGACGATGCTGACAGCGACGACGGGGCAGCCAGCGACGGCGCCGATGCTGATCACGCGGGCTACGATGAAGGCGTCGTCGCGTCGGTGATGAGGGTTTTGGAAGGAGTTCGAAATGCGCGCGCGGCAGACGCGCGAGAGTAGCCCGCATGGTATTATTTAGCACGGATCGTGCCCCTCCCTCCCCCCAGACACGCGCAAGAGCGTTCGAACGATTTCGACGTGCGCGTGCGAAGCCCGTTTGGTAGCATTTTCTGAAAATGTGGAGAAACCTATTGTATTCTTAAGAACTCGCAAGAGCGCGCGCAAGTTGTTTTGGAAAATCCACGTTGCGAAACTATGTTTTTCCCCACCTAGGCTCTGTCTAGAAGGGTTCTTACCCTGTGGGCTTAAAGGGCCGGGCAGTGCTCCCCGCCCCGGGCGGTTCCCCGGCATCCGCCCCGCGGTTCCCCCAGTTACGTCCCCTTAGCTTAGCGTTGCTTATCTCACCTTAGCTTAGCTTATTTCATCTTAGCTTAGCTTAACTTCACCTTAGCTCAAGTTTATCTTAGCTTAGCTTATCTTCATCTTAGCATCGCCGAGCATTAGCATAGCAGAGCACAGCATAGGATAGCGTAGCATATTGCAGCACAGCATATCCTAACCTAGCCCAGCACAGCATAGCGCAGCATAGCATAGCATAGCATAGCATAGCGCAGCACAGCACAGCACAGCATAGCACAGCGCAGCGTAGCATAGCAGAGCATAGCAGCAAAGCAAAGGCGAAGCAACAGCAGCGACAACAAAACGAAGCACAAGCAACGCAAAGCAAAGCAAAAGCAAAGCAAAGGAACGGCAACGCAAAGGAACGGCAACGCAAAAGCAACCTACCTTGGCTCTGCCTAGAGGGCTAGCTTAGCCTAGCTTAGCTTCGCTTAGCTTAGAACAGCGCAGCGCTGCATTAGCATAGCATAGCACAGCATAACATAGCCAAACATCGCATTGCATTACATAGCATAGCGCAGCATAGTATAGCATAGCATAACATAGCATAGCAGAGCATCGCGCAGCTTAGCATACCATAGCATATCATTGTATAGCTTAGCGTAGCACAGCGCGGCATGACACAACATAGCTTAGCATAGCAGATCATAGCATAGCACAGTATAGCATAGCACAGCGTAGCGCAGCACAGCCTGGCATAGCATAGAACATCCTAGCAAGTAATGCTGTTTTCCTAGGGGCTCCAACTTCTAGGTAGGGTCGCACTGGGGTAACTATATTGTGTTTTTTACACTTGATTTTGGATTCCTTCCGAAACTGATCGTTTCTGAAAGATTTCGGCACGCGCGCGACAACGCCCCCATGGTTTGCAAAGGACTTCTGGGAACTGATGAGCTTTGATAAACGATTGCGCGCATGTTTTTTGGTGGCGATGCCGGTTTGGCTGGGAAAATATGACTTCGCAGGTAGGATGGACGCCGGGTCAGAATCATATGCGCCTTGCATGGGTTCCCCGAGAATCGATAGGTCCAGGGGGGGGGAGGGCGGTGGAACATATTTTTAAAAGAAGAGATAATCGATTTTTACACGCGAGTTAGCATTCTACGCTCTTGCAAACATCCCGCCAATCCATCCGCAACTCGGCTTGCAGAACCCACGCGGTGGCGACTGCGATCCGTGCGCGGCGTCGGCTGGTGCATCTCCGCGGCCGCGCCGACCCGAGCGCGCGCGCAGCGGCCAGCTGCTCTGGCGCGACAGACGCGGCCGCGACGGGGCTGGCCGCTGGGCGTATCCCAGCACGCGCTTCACTGCGAGTCGGCGACTTCGGCGGGCTCGGTATCATGGCAATGCCGACAACGGTAGACACAGCGATGATAGTAGCGATGCTGGCGACGACGTTGACAACGACGACGGCGCGGCCAGCGCCGGCGACGATGACGGCGCCCTCGCGTCGGCGCGCATGGGCGCGCGACAGATTCCGGCACGCGGCGCCAGAGGGCCCATTTAACATGACTCCATGAGCGCGTTGAGAACCAATGGTTTTATTAGAAATCTACAACTGCGCGAGCGCGAGTTTTTTTGAAAACTGATGTTGCGAAGCCATCTGTTTGTAAATGTGTTCTGGGCGCTCGTTTATGAAATCGCTGCGGAACCGACGGTTTCCGACGGACTTCGGCACGCGCGCGCGAAGACGCGCGCGCGCACTCTTCGTCGCATTCTTTGCAAAGGGAATTCTCGCGACGGCACGCGCGCAAGGGCGTTCGAACGCTTTTGACATGCGCGCGCGAAGCCCGTCTGGAAACATGTTTTGCACATGATGGAAATCCATGGTGTGTTTTTAAGCATTCGCAATCGCGCTCCTTTTTTGTGTTGTTATTTCTTTTTGTTTTTGGGGGCACTCGATGTTGTCGTCCTTGTGAGCCCTAGGTGTCTGAAGGATTTCGGCATGCGCGCGCGACGACGCGCGCATGCACTTCGCCCCATCGTTTGCAGGGGACTCTTGAGAGCTGATGATTTGTGGTGAACGAGTGCGCGCGCATGGTACTTTTGGCAAACATATGGCTGGAGGGGGATGCCGGTCGGGCTGGGATGGCACGAATTCGCACTTCGGATGGATGATGGGGCATAATCAGATGTAAGTTGCAGTGCGAAAAGGGGTGCCGATAAGTTCGGGGGTGGGAGGAGTTGAGTTGTATATATGTACACATGCACATACATCTATGACCATATAATCATCTATAACCGTATACCAGAGAACACTTACGCGCGGCAACCGATGGAATGCAATACCTATATACATATATTTAAATATACGAGGTGCCATCGATGTGGTACAATCGATTTGTTACAAGCGAGCTGACACATCCCTTGCTCTTGCAAACATCCCACCCACCCACCCGCAAGTTGGTTTGCAAAACCCACGCGGTGGTTATGGCGATGCATGCTTGGCGGTGGCTGGTACATCTCTACGGCCGCGCCGACCCAAATCGCACGCGGCGGCCAGCTAGTTTGACGCGACCGACGCGGCCGCGGAGGCGCTGACCGCTGGGCGCATCCCAGGAAGCACTTCACTACGAGTCGGCGGCTCGGGCGGGCGCGGTGCCATGGCAATGTCGGCGACGGTTGACGCGATGATGATCGTAGCGATGCTCGTGGCGATGTCGACAATGGCGACGGCGCTGCCAGTCGCGGCGCCGATGCTGATCGCGTCGACGACGATGACGGCGCCCTCCTCGCAACGGCGATGAAAGTTGAGGAAAGAGTTCGACATGCGCGCGTGGCCGACGCGCGAGTGCCCCGCGTGGCATTATCTGACACGGATCGTGCCATGTCAGCGCGTGCGCAAGGGCGCGCACATGATTTCGGCGCGCGGCGCCAGGGGCCCGTTTGGCAGAATGCCGCGGACATGTCAAAACAACGATGGTTTCCTGGAGAATTCACAAGAGCGCGAGCGCACGCTTTCTTGAAAACGGATGTTGCAAAACCGTGTGTTTTCGTATATGTTTTGGACACTCAGTTCTGCAATCGCTACGACACCCAAGGTTTTTGACTGATTCCTGTATGCGCGCTTGACGACGCGCGCGCGCACTTCGTCACATTTCTTGCAACAAAGGATTCCCGCGACGGCACGCGCACAAGGGCGTCCCAACGATTTCGACATGCGCGCGCGAAACCCGCTTGGTAGCATGTTCTGAACATGTTGGAAATCGATGGCGTTCAGAAGATTTCGCAAGAACGCGCGCGCAATATTTTTGGGAAATCTGAAGTACGAGAGCATGCGTTGTTCAAATTGGCATGCCGAAGGACCCAACCATATGCAGTTGTGTACGCCGCCGAATTATGCACCGCATTCGGAGGAGCTCCCTATGGGGCCATGGAGCGTGTGATGGGTGTGCAAATTTGTCCAGTGGGCGTATGCGAAAGCAACCGCTGGGGCCGTCGATGAAATTCCTTATGGGGCAACGGAAACCGCAAAAAATGCGGGGCCTCCAGTGGAGCTTCCCGTGAAGCCACGAAGCGTGTGAGGGGTGTGCTGCGACTAATGTGGGTGACGCATGCGGGCGGTGGCACTGGGGCCTTCGGTCCTTCGGTGGAGCTCCCCATGGGGCCGCGAAACGTCTGAGCGGTGTCCGTGAATTGGCGTGGGTGACGCCTGCCAGCGGCGGCGCTGGGTGGGGCCGCAGAACGTGTGAGGGGCGTGCCGACATGGGTGCGAATGACGCATGCGGGCTGTGGCACTGGGGCCTTCGGTGGAGCTCCCTATGGGGCC